GTGTACGTCGATTGGCAATAACTTGCTCCTTCAAAGGACGTTCCCTCCCAGCCAAGTACTTTTCAACTAATGAAGTGGGTTCGTGTGGCAGAGTTTCCATGGCATGTTGTTTTGCTGTTTTCAAGGTTTTATATTGCAATCTAAGCTGGACAACTTCGTCAAATACTAAGTCCACATAACCTGCATGTAAAATATATTATGTAAACTAAAGTTGTAGTGGTGCTGGTGCAATATTCAATGACTACACTTCTTGGAAAACAATCTTATTGCTGGCTTCAGACAGGAAATGTGTTTATTTGGTTTGTGCTAATACAGCAAATCCTCAATTAAGCGGCCCCCTCCTATGCAATAAGCSTCTCCCCTCCTCTCTGCCCCTTTAGAACTAAAGAATTCTAGATGGTACTTTCACTAGACAAACACTATACCATAGGTTGGTTTTTCTTTCAAAGGCTTTGCGACAGCCTTTTCTCCTTTGAAAGCTTTAGGATAACTGATTGCCCATTTGAGTTTGCCGTCAACAGTTTTGGCTTGTGGTCTGGAACTGTTCTCATTGTAGTGCAAGTTGGAACAAAACAATCTGCAAACATTAAGGGAAATATGCAAGGTTAGACAGTARAAAATATGCTGTAAAGTTATTATATAATTCTAGCAGATAAGCTAATTAAGGATTACTTATAGGGGAATATTTTTTCATATCATAAATGCAGACAATCTTAGTATTTCTGCATGTACTCTTTGTTTGTGTTGGTTGCATCTACTATAAATGAGCATTTCCCAATTTACAAAAAAATATTAATTTAGTTATTAATTAATATATACCATATTTATGAATAAATAGATGGATGGTTGGATGAATGAATGAATAAATAAGTTTATAAACCCCTTTTTTCCTTTTTCACTAACCTAGCACTTAGAGAATGATAGGAAAAGTATGTATTCTTTGGAGCCAATAAGTTATCCAAAGAATGTTTTGCTTCTAAACCAGATGTTTGATGATATTTGGACAGTTTTTTAATTGCAGTAACCAGTCTAGGCCTGGTTATCATCTCTGTTAACTTCTTATGAGCTGCAGACCCTATAGCATTGGAATTAATAGAAATTACACAAGCTATTTCAATGGGATATATATATACATGTATATTTATCATATGAYAGCCTGCTTGTTAAGATAAAGAACACAGACCCTTAAAACATGAAAAAGAATTGCATGATTACTGTCAATATTTATAGAAAACAGCTCTACAATTTAGTGCATACTTAGGATAATTTAATACTATACATATACTACACTGTACCTGCTTTAATCCAAACTCTATCAAGTTGCCCATGATCACATTTGGTGAAGATCTTGTTATCTTTATGCTGATGGATATCAACAATATGGTTCACAAGACTTAGCCACTTTTCCTTTCTCTCGTCAGCAGTGCTGCTAGAGTTTCCTACCCAGTAGATGTGGTTTACAATTGACTGTGAGATGAACAGTAAAACTGATATGTATTGCAAAATTGTATTGAGAGTCACATTCTCTTGAAATATTATTTTAAAAATAAGTATTGGTACTGTTACAATAGGAGGCAGGAAAACAGGACAGATAAAGATGCAACAATATAAAAAGAGGGTGTGTTTATGTAAAAAAAAATCAGTTTTTCATGTTTTTTTGTTGTTGTTGTTTTTCAATAATGAACAAACTTTCACTTACTGGAATCCATGGCTTTATTGATTTGAACTTTTTTTGCTTTGCTACTTTATTCAGCTTTTTCTTTTCTCCTTGATAAATAAATGTTGTTATTATGACAATAAATTATAATTAAATGCTAAAAAATATCTACAAGGCATTGCAGAAATTACCTTTAGCTWTATGCCAGACATCATAGGTATGTTCAACATTAGGCTTCTCTTTTGCTACATAAGCTGCAACTTGGATGTGCCTATCCGTCACAAGCTTGCTTATCTCTGCACCATTCGTTTCCAAGAAAGAAATTTGTCTTTTAAGGGATTCAAGTTCCATGGCATTTGAATTTTTGACTTCAGTACTCTAAAAATAATTTTCAGCAGTTAGTATATTTGTGCATGTCTCAGGTTTTGAATGTCAATAGTGTGCAGTGAAAACTTGAAAACTAACCTAGTAATAACTGTGAGACATCATTTTATCTTTACATAATTAGGTTACACAATATTCATTCTTTTTGCAAAATTATCAGTGACTGTGTTACAAAAAATGGCAAGCTGTCAGGGATTCTTTTTGCTATTAGGCTGTACTAGTAAATCTACATGTACATCTGTGAGACATATGTTTTTACTGTTTTTCTCTCACTTAGTACAAGAGTACAAAATAGYTGAAAAAAATATCAAATTAAAACAAAACATATAAATCAGAGTCGAGGAGGGGGTGGTGGTTATGCCATGATGAGGGTTTTTAACAATTGTGAACCAATTTGCTACATATAATAATTTGGGATGTTGTATAATCTTTGTTTTTGGAGGGGTGGGGCATGTTTTRAAGATCCACCATCTAACTATTCTTGTACCACACCCCCACCACCCAGTCCCATCCATTACCTTGATAATTTGTGTGTCTAGTATTATGTTCCTCTCTACATCTAAGGTACTCCCAGATCCTAGAAGACCGCTGTGGCCTGGGCTGTCCACACGCATATCAGAAGCAATTGTTATGCATTTCCCACTTATTTCTGCTAGCCTCTTGTTCTGTTCCCTTTTCCAGACTTCATATACAGCAGGCACTGCATAAAATTTGAGGAGGTTTGACAACTCTCTCTGCTTTACATGTGGAATGTTTAAAGCTTTAAACAGTCTAAGTGCTTTAGATGATTCCATTCCTGTACAAAGTATTCCTGATGCAAGTAGCAAGTGAAACACAGGTAATCGGTTAAGAGTGGGGCCGGTTGACCAGATAAAGTCATGCCTGTTGTCAACTAGACACGATACGGCAATAGAACAGGATTGTCCAACTTGATTCTCCAGAGACAATTTACATTTTGATCCACATTGTTGACACTTCCCGAAAGCATTCAGTAACGCTTGCTCAAAAACAACGAGTTTTATTTGATTTTGGGGAGGTTTTCCTTCGAGTAAGATATGCTGCTGATAATCAGTTTCAACATCTTCGTCATCACTTTCATTATCAGACAATTCTTCTTCAGGAATATAATCTTCATCTTTAGAATCACGAATATCTATAATGTCCATTTCTTGATAATGTTCTTCAACACTGTGGTATTCCTTGTGAGGGCTCTCCGCTGATTTCCATGCATCCACAGTCTGACTAGATGTTGATACTGTTTTTGTTTGCCGCGCCTCGTCAAAAAACGAGGAATTTACAGTTATATGTGTTTGTATTTTTATAGAACGTGTTTTAGGTTTTGAAGACGTTTGAGTGTACTTATTATTAGAGGTTATGCTGAGTTGACTGGACGTCATGTTCGTGGGTATTTCAGAATCGTACTCTGATGGAATTGCAACATGAACAGTTTCATCAACTCTTATTACATCCTTAGGTTCGTCATGATCTGTGCTGAATTCGTCGTGTTCAGATTTATCTGACGTCTGTAACATTTCCTTTAGATCCTAGTAAATTCATAAGCTTAATATCAGTGCAAACGTACATCTTAGTTTATGTTTAGGAATTGAACAGGTGTAACCTAATTAAAGTCAGCATTCAGTTTTACCTTAGCTCTTNCCAGCTAAAAATCATTTTTGCCTGGATTTGATGAGATATGCAAAAAGAATTTGATCTCATTTGCATATTTTGTTTTTTTGGACATAATTTTCTTAGAAAGTTATATCTGATGCTTTAATTCACACAGGTTGTTAAGTACAATGTGTTCCTTTAAAATACCCTGGAAAAGAATTTGGAAACTATTAATTTTGCAATTGCGCAAAATCTTATGAGCAAGTTATAGGGGACCATGACAGGGGGCAAGAGGCTGCCATGCAAGATGGCCGACTTTAAGACCAAATGCAATTTTAGAGGAAATACAGGGTTATCATGGCATTTTAAGTCTCAGCTCAAATATAGCTCTCAAATTTAAGCTATTTTTCTAATTAAAATCATGAAAATTACTGATAATCTGCAAATTAGAACAAAAAAAATACTTTATGCAAATTAGTGTTTTTGCTCTTAGCATACCTCATCAAATCCAGGCAAAAATTATTTATTTCTTCAGCAAATGCACCAAATAGTCTTTGAATAATAGTTTTAACAAGCACAAAGCGGAAAAATGTTGAAACATTGAATATCTAGGTGATTTGAGTTTGGTCACGTGACCTGTGCAAAACCTCTATAGGGTTTGTAAGTTAATCTGTTCGATTTCTTTTTACTGGTGGAAACACAGGCAGCCCAACTTTGAATTAAGACGATTTGATGCATTATCGGATGAAAAAAGCGAAAAAAGTAAGACGAAAACCGCAAGCGCGCGCTTTATTTGCTTATCATTGCATCAAATCGTTGTAATTCATAGCTGGGCTGACTATGGTGGAAAATATTTTTGAAGTGTCCGCCTGAATCTCAGTACATATATTGCATTCAATTCCCATTTTCTCGCTTTGCAAAAACGTAAAGTAGGTGACTGCAAGAATATTTTTTGTTAGTTACCGTGAATCTAAGTACATATTGCATTCAATTCTTATTTTTCGCTTTGCAAAAACGTGGAGTAGGTGACCTAACAATGTCTGGTAGGTTTGTAACAGCAAAATCAYACAAAATAGCAGTGTAACTCAAGGGTGTTAAGGCCTGTGTCAGCATATGCAAATTAGGAAAAAATTATTGTATTTAGGAAGTCATCCATTCTAAGCCCAGTCTTGTTTGTTTAGGTTAACTAAATATTTTGTCATCAAAAAATATTTCGAAAAAAGTATATTTTCTTTACCCCACTTTTGAAATTACCGTTTCCTCGTCGCTTGGGTCACGTGACCTCCATATTTGGACATAACATACTTAAAAATTCTAAGGACCTTGATTCTCTTTATGTCTTCAAAGCTTATACCTCTACGGTAAATGTTAGTGAAATATAACGTTTTTGATATTTTTTGATATTGCCTAAAATCCCAAGCCTTTTAAGACACCCTTGAGTATCCTTCTGTTTACTAACGTCGTTAACTTTAACTCCGTACATATTGCATTCAATTCCTATTTTCTCGCTTTGCAAAAACGTACAGTGGGTGACTGCAAGAATATTTTTCTARTTGYCGTGAATCTAAGTATATATTGCATTCAATTCTTATTTTTCGCTTTGTAAAAACGTGGAGTAGGTGACTTAACAATGTCTGGTAGGTTTGAAACAGCAAAATCACACAAAATAGCAGTGTTATCCTGCTGTTTACTCAGTTGAATCGTTAACTTTAACCCAGTACATATTGCTTTCAATTCCYATTTTTTCGCTTTGCAAAAACGTAGAGTAGGTGACTGCAATAATATTTTTTCTAGTTACCGTGAATCTCAGTACATATTGCATTCAGTTAAACAACAAGCTAGACTAACTTTCGCATAATCACTTGTTGAATGCTGATTGTTACCGTGGTCCCAGAGGWTCGATTTGTTCACCCCTAGCATTCGTTCGTGCCAACAAAAACAAAAGAGAAAAGTGAAGAAATCGAACCTCTGGGACCATGGTAGTTGATTGTAAGAATGATTATGATTATTAGTTATTACGGAGAAGAGCGAACTCATACCATGATATTTCATTATTCCAATTCGTTATTAATAACGTCACACTGCATATTGATAATAAATTGAAACCTAGCTTAGAACACTTACTAGTAACATGTAAAGTTACAAACGACTTTTGGAAAGCAGTGATAATTTCATGGCTATCAACTTTTGAAATGAAAGTGAGAATTTTGTGAGAATTTTTTATCCTTGGTATCTTAGATCAAAAAGACGATTATATCCTTATTAATCTGTTAATCATATCATTAGCTAAATATAAGTAAATATATATATAAGTGCAGCTCGTCTAAAACATACCCATCTATTTCGTTATTTAGTTTAAAAACTAAGTACAATTTATACAATATTGAAAATATAGGATAGCATCTAAAAACAATARACTTTTATATCTACGAAAAATGGAACAAACTTCTCCCTTCTCCGGATAATATAGTTGAGACTTTGCTATGTATATAGATCCCTCCTCCTTTATGTACTGACTGTTTTTTTGTTTTTGTTTTTTTTTTCGTTTTTCTTTTCTTTTTTTTGTCTTGTTTTTTTTTTGTTATGCAACCACCATTTGTAAAATACATTATTGGATATGAAATAAAGATAATAATAATAATAAAAAAATTGACAAGAAATGTCAGCAATRTTGTTTACACTTGGTTTGCAAAGGTTTGATTAACATACAACCAAATAAAAGGGAGTTATTTACAATTTTCCCACGGTCACGTGATATGTGACGTCACACACGGTTTATTGACAAGTCATGTCAGCAATGTCGCCTGGAGTTGATTTGGCAAAGGTTTGATTAACATACAACCAAATATAAGGGAGTTATTTACAATTTTCCCACGGTCACGTGATAAGTGACGTCACACACGGCATATCGATAGCAGATTTTTTTATTGTTTATTGAAAATTTATTTATTATTTATTTATTGAAAAAATATATATATATTGCAACCTGCAACCTGCAGTTTACACCGTCCGACATTTGAAAGGGTGCCATCCTGTGGCCTTGATGTTAACAAACCCCAAGTAAAAGATCCCAAACAGTTTGACCATATTAATCTTCTTAACAAAGCTGAATTGGAGAAATTGAGAGATGATTACATTGTACTGGTAGCCCGGGTACTGACAGAATTTTTTCCCTTCTTGTCACCTATCATTGCAGCTGTTCCAGCCCACATTAAGCATAGGTAATTTTTACATCATGCGACAGTAAATACATTCTGCTCTGTTGATACATTGTATCTGACAGAAATATAAAAATTGAATCTGGGTCACCCTAAGAAATCATGATATGAAGAACAGTCAGTCATTCTTAGAGTGGCCAAGTTTCAGAAATGGCACTATAATTATAATATTATGATAATTAACAAATGTCTTCCTTTTTCAGGTTTTCAGAGCACATGGAAAAGAAATCAGAGATAGTGGCCTTACCAGTCTCTCCATTTAATCCGTCTTTGCATTCTGATGTGTGCCAATATCTGGATGAGCTACAAAACTTTATTTATGATGTCAAGAAAGATGAGGTTTGTTTGTAGATATTTTGAGTAGCATATTAAGTTAATTAACATAACATTTCTCTCGCTGTTCATTACATATGTATACTGTAATGATATTATTTCTATTTTTTCACATAGAACAATCCAAAGACAAAGGATGAAGTCCTTAAAAGTGTTCAAGTTCCTCTTGCTGGTGATCTGCTTGGAAGGGAAAGAATCACAGGTGCAAAGAAAACAAGGATGGGATGTGATAAGCCTTCAGACCTCTTTACAAATATAGTAGAGTGTCCAGCTCTCTGGCATTGTAAAATGGCCTTCTTATCAGTAAGAAACAATTTCATGATAAATTGCAAATCACTCACAGACGAGCTTCATGTAGATCCTTTGTTTGTTACTCTGATGTGCAATATTACTGTTACAATAATACACTGTAAACTAAATTTAATTGACATATTGTAAAGCAGTTATTATGAATTCTTTTTGTATGTATATATAATTATCTAATATTGAGAATTCACCCTGCAATATATTATATATAATCAATTTGAAAAAAAAGCATTTTTTATATTTTGTTTGGAAAGAACTGTACCAGACAACAGCAGCAGGTGGGAGAGATGTGGGTACATTATATCATCTCAGACAACACTTTGGATTAGTCAATGTTACAGCCAAAGTTAAGAACAACTACACTGCATGCGAAGCCCTAATGTTGTCAACAACCAAAGCCTACATGTGCTCTGCCTTCATGTCATTTAACAATATGGCCAGCATTGATGAAACTCCTTCTTGGGCTGCCCCTATACTTTCAAAGAGGTTATCAGCAGTACAGAAATGGAGTGAGATAAAAGAGCATATTGGCCACTTTGTAGACAAGTTTGTGATGGTAGAATTTGACATTGAAAAGAAATGGAGGGAGGAACAGGAGAAAAAACAGAAAGAACAAGTGCAAGGACATCAGCAAGTACCATTACAGAGTGTGCACTCATTTCTTCCAGGTAGTGATAATGTACTGAAGCATTTTGAAAATGCATCATGTCTTATGCATATTTGTCAATAATTTACTAATTTTAATTATTTATCATTTGTTTCTCGAAGTACGGTTTTTAAAAGTATGAGTACCATGGAGATACATGAATTGATGCACAATCAACTATTTCAATTATTTTATAACTGTTGGAGAATTTAATATCAAATGTCAATTATCAAATACTGTAATCTGATGTGGCTTTGCCTTTAAAAGTGCCAACTTCAGGATACTCAGACTAGGAAACTTCTGCAGCATGTAGTGCACTGAGGATCACTTTTGTTGGGTGAGAAGATTTTGCAGTTTTACTACAGTTCATTTCTATATTTACAAAGGAAATCCAGTGTATATGTTAACTGTGGAAAACCAAAAATGCAAAGTTATTGCTGTTGGGATCATCCAAAGTGTACAAATCCAAGTACCAGATGATCAAGTTCCTGTATATGTCTACTCCATTGAAAATTGTGCTGTTGGAAG